CGTCCTCCGCCCGCGCGCCCGCACGCCCGTCCGCCGCCCCCGCCATCCAGTTGGTGCGGTCCATGGCGAGCACATCATGGCGATTGAAGGTAAGTGGAGGCCGGCCGCGGTGTGGGAGGAGGGGGAACGCCCAGGGAGCCGGGCTCCCAGACACCCGGGAGGCCGTGGCGCGGGTGGGGCACTCGCCTGCGGGCGGGGAGCGGGCCGGCGAAGCGTAGGGGTCCCGACCGCGTCTCGGGAGACGGGTGGGCGGAGCGGCGCCGCGGGTCCGCCGGCTCGCTCGCTCCGGCCCTGGCGGTCCTGTCGGCCTCAGCCCGTGGCCCGGCGCGGGGAGGAGCCGGTCCCCCTGACAGGTACCGTGCCTGGCGGTGCCGAGTGGGGCTCCGGTGCGGCCCTGCGGAGCCCGCGGGACGGGTCGGGGGAGCGTGGGACTGCGGGGCGTTCCCCCTCCACTGTGCTCCCCCCCGCACCCCTCCTCCCGCGGTACCCGCCTTGCTACCAAACTGGGAGTCCAGTTTTGCTGTCCCAGTCCTAACCCTTCTTAGTCCCTTCTCCGGAACTGACGCTGGGTTGCACTCTCCATCCATACCCTTCTGTTTGCTGTTGTAGGGGGCCAGGAAATTTGGGGTGAGGTTAATTTCCTCAAGCGTTTTTTTTTCCCCCCTAGCACTCAAAACTGCTTTTTTTCCTAAGAGAATACATCTGAAATAACAAACGCACCCTCTTAGAATCCTGCCTGTATTATCAGTCCACTAAGTGTTACAGTGTCAACAGTACTCAGTATTTTCAAAAAGTAGCTTAGTATTTACTGCCCAGCCAGAGAAGGCGGTTGGCATCAGAGTGTATTTTCCTCTTGTTCCAAAAATATCTATCTGGAATGAAGTGTCTATATTTTGCTTTGTTTTTAAGGAGGATATTGTGAAAATTAACATCACACGTCTAGGATATTTATGTGAAAGACTGCAGCATCTTCCAGCCCCTGTGAGACTCTTAGTTTAACTCAGTTGAAAGTACTTTGTAAAATTTACCTGTATGGGCGCACGTGTGTACAGATTCACATCATCTGTAACATGTTCACGGTACCTCCAGCTATATAATCATTAGCTTAAATTTTGTGTGTCTTCCTCCTAAGTAAAACTTAGAGGACTTCCCATCTTGATGACTGGCTAATCACCAGTAGCATACATCTCTTTGTCAGATCGTGTGGTCTCCAAAATAACTTGAGCTTTGTGTTTATTTTTATTTTGTTTATTTAAGGGATTGATTACCTGTTATATGCAAGACACACATTCAGACACATTTCAGATAACTACTTTAGCTAACGTGATGGAAAGCTCTTGGGAACAAGATCTGCTTATAATCTTTGATATTCCTGTTACCCAGAGTGGTACTTTCAAACTCTTTTCCTTACGATGCTTTTAACTAGAGGTTAAAAATACAGAAACCAAATCCACTGATTAATGTTTTGTACTTTATTTCTATAACCAATTTGTTTGTAAGTGTTTCTTAATGACATGGTAAAGCTAAAAAGTTTATGCAGAAGGTGAGGAAAAATTAGCCAGATAGCATCTGGATCTAACCCTGTAACTTCTAATTTCTTGGACTATTTTACAATTTTTTCTCTTTTTCTCAGTCTTCTCCCCCCACCCTACCCCCTCGCAGTTAAATGTGATTGATTCCTTTTTTTTTTTATGTCAACTGATGGCTTTTTTGCTCTGCCTACTGCTACTTGTATATTCAAAGAACAAGATTTTTGAAATTCTCATATCCTAGAGATTCTTCTGTGTTTCAGATATTCATATCAATTTTCAAATACTTAAGCATTCATTGAAGTTTTCATAATATAAAAATCGGGAATTATATGTTTTCTAGTTTGATAAGACACTAAAGTTAGTATTAGCATTTCAAATAAAGATGTTGGGTCAGGTTAATCTAACTGTTCTGTTTTTCACATACCAGAATCCATTATTTATACACACCATTCCCTTGCTGTGTTAGGAAGTAAATGAGCTTTGGATGAGGACTTTGTACTAGGGACATCTTAGAATTTTAGGTGCCCAAGGGGGCATCTTATTCAACCTTCTTCCCAGTGAAGGGGCTCATAAAGCATTCAGTCCCTTCATTCACCTGTTAGTTCAGCAGCCTTAATGAGCACTAGCTGTACTCAGTGTTCTGTGCGGCCATAAAGATGCCTAAGACCACACTCCTTCCCTTAAGGAGCACACGTTCTAGTGGGGGAGACAGATAATTTTAGCCATGCAATTATAATATAGTGTGAACAACAAAAGATGAATCATCTTTTGTATAAAAACATTCAATGACACATGAGTTCAATGAAAATCTGCCATTCAGTAACTTCTGTCTATCTACTTATCCTAGGTCTGCCTTCTGGAGCAATAAATTAAAAGTCCACTCTTCCCAGTGTATATGACATCCCTTCTACCATTTGAAGACAACTTTTGAGCATTTTTTTTTGCAGACAAAATACCCAATTTTTCCTCTGGATGGTGTGTAGTTGTATGTTTTAAAGTTTGAAATATGATAGCCATTCCATTCCAGTTGTATTGTTGAGTAACATGGCCTTTTTGGAACTGCATGTTAGCTCAAGATGAGGTTGAAATCAACCAAAACCATAGAATCTCTTCCACCTGGACTACTTTCAAATCAGGTGTCTTCAATCCCTTGCATAGCAAACCAGTGTTTTGAATCAAAGAACAAATCATTTGTATCTGTTCAGCATATTCTTATCAGCTGTAGCCCAACATTTTAGCCCTTGAGTTTAGATTTTTACGTAGTAAGGGTTACTTTTATTTCCTCCGCTGTGTAAAACCTATATTTTACATGCTAAGTAATCACTCATTTCCTCCTTTTATCAGACAGGTAACTGCTAATCAGGACTTCAGATATGGTGGTGTTACCACACTGATCTAATATAATTAGTGAAGAAATTAGTCCTATCTTAGGTTAAGGTACAATTTTGAAAAAGCATTTTGAAATACTGAGTAGTTCACAGAGCCTTATTGTTACCTAGAGGTCTGGTGATAACCAGGTTGGGAATCATTGCTCTACCCTAGCCTATCAAGACCTTTAGTTGCCGTCCACTGTATTGACTCTTATAATGTTGGCCTCTGTCAATCTCACATTGTTAACCATTTTCTGGTTTTTTTTTTTTGAAATTTTCTCCTCCTCTCTTGATTACTTACTTCTCAGTCTTCTTTTCATCTACGTTGCCTAATGTTGTGTTTCCATTCTTAACCCTGTTCTCATCCTCTTTACATACTGCTATAATTGCACACATTGAGTAATTTTATAATCACTTGTTTATAATTTGTCTTCCTTGTCAATTCCTAGAGAGTAATGTCTTATTTTTGTACTCCTTAAATTTTGCACAGTATCTAAATATAGTATGTACTCAACAAATGTTTTTTGAATTGTTATAATGGAATTTTATACATTATCTACATTGATTGCATCCATTTCCCAGATGTATTTGACCAAAAACCTGCCATTCGGTAACTTCTATCTATCTGCTCACCTTAGTTCTGCTTTCTGGAGTAGTAAATTAAAAACGCACTATTTTTTTTTAAAGATTTATTATTTTAGAGAGAGGGAGAGAGTGTGCGCGCACATGAGGGAGGGGCAGAGGGAGAGACAGAATCTCAAGCAGACTCCCCGCCACGGAGCCTGACTCAGGGGCTCAGTACCACAACCCTGAGATCATGACCTGAGCCCAAATCCAGAGTTGGACGCTCAACTGACTGAGCCACTCCAGGAGCCCCTAAATGTGCACTATTAACGCATGATGAGAACCAAGTGTTGTATGGAAGTGTTGAATCACTATATTTTACACCCGAAACTAATACTACACTGTATGTTAACCAACTGAAATTTAAATAAAAACTTGAAAAAAATAAAAGTGCACTATGACTAAAGTAAACAGAATTTTCCTAATTTATGTTTTCAGATAGTTGTTAGATATCTTGCAATCTAAAATATTTAGATTTGGGACATTCAAAATGTCCCAAACGAAAATTGTCATTACAGCCACCAAATCCAGTTTCTGTACTCCCCACTCCATGCCGATTTACTATCTGAGTGGTATTTTTAAATAACCAGGGATCTGAGATAGAAATCTGGAAATCAGCCCTGTCTTAAACTCATTCCCCCTTGTTGATCAGTAAGTCCTGGCAAGTCTGCATTTCAATTTACGATGTTTAGTGCTTACACTTAAGTTTATTCCCCCTCATTAAAGAGGCTTGTATTAGTTTTCTAAGCTAGTCTTGTTTTTTTTTTTTTTTTAAAGATTTTATTTATTTATTTGACAGAGAGACACAGCGAGAGAGGGAACACAAGCAGGGGGAGTGGGAGAGGGAGAAGCAGGCTTCCTACAGAGCAGGGAGCCTGATGCGGGGCTCAATCCCAGGACCCTGGGATCATGACCTGAGCCGAAGGCAGACGCTCAACGACTGAGCCACCCAGGCGCCCTAAGCTAGTCTTGTTTTGTTAGCACTAGTTTTAGGGTTCCTTCCAACCCATTTTCTGAACTATTGCTAGTTTTCTTTGTAAAATGCAGAACTAATATTTAAAACCTCAGGATAGAGATCTTTAACGATCTGACCTAAGCGCCTCCTTTATTTAGTCCACATCTTTCTGACTCGTCCGTAAGAACTGACATAACATAATAAAAAAAATTGTAAAAAAAATAAAATGAAGTACCTCAATTACTAAAAAAAATAAAACTTAAAAAAATATCAGAACACTCTTTGCAAAACTTTTTTGCTGAAGTAAAAATATTCATCTTTATTGTTATTGTGCTGTATATTTAGCTACTTAATCTTTCTGGGTAGTATTTTTTAAAGTTGTAAAAGAAGACTATATTAGAAGGAATCTGTGTGTGTGTGCATATATGTATGTATACATATTTTTATTTATAAAGGCACTTTGTAGTTTACCACATACTTACGTGGTATGTACGTATGTATCTTTTAAATCATCAGTACAATTCTGAGGTGTTCTTGAAGGCTTGTTGTGACTCTAAGATTTCCAAGGCAGAATTTGGGCTTTTGAAATACTGACTTAAAAACCCAGT